AGGGATGTAGAGACACACACACACAAAAAGAAAAATAGTCATTTTTTTTTTGTTTTTTATATATATATATATATATATATATATATATATATATATATATATATAATCCCTGTAATGCCTGAACATTGGCTGGATTTCTGTAATATTTGTATGTATTTACAAAGATAGAAAGATAGTGAACATAGATTGCGTGCTCACATGAATATGGGTCTTAATGTTATGGATGATGCTGTTTGAGGAGAGTGAGTAGAGTTTATTTATGATAGTCATTGATTTTTAATGGTGAGATTTTCTTGTTACTTTATATTTTAAAAGCATTGTTGTTCTATAGATCAATACTACAGTTATAACATACATATTGGGAATCTTAGTGCTTGAAATAAAGAAAACTGCAACCCCACACCTTACTCCCCAGAATGCACTCATTAGAAACAAGTGAACAAAAATATCTCCTCATTTCAAGTTTCTATTGAAGATATAGCAGCTTCTTCAAACTGTGTAACTCAGTAACCTCTGTTAGGAAGAGCAGTACCTCAATGACTAAAAATGCTGATACAACTCTCCTCTCCTCAGAAACATTGCCTCCGACCGCCGTGAGCTGGCCAGACTCGGTATCACACACATTTTGAACTGCGCGCAGAGCAAGTGGCGAGGCGGAGCCGAGTATTACGCGGGAATGAACATCACCTACCATGGGATCGAGGCTCACGACTCCCCGACCTTTGACATGAGCGTCAACTTCTATCCGGCTGCCGAGTTTATCCACAAAGCCCTCTCGAGTGGAGGTAACTGTAAATACGAAGGCATGCCTACAGATAGAAACCATTCATTAATGAAGGATTTACATTTTTATCAATGCTAATTCATAGTGTGCATCCGCAACAAAATCAGCCCAAACCACCTGTCATAATCAGACTGAGGCAGATTCCAAAGGACGAGCAGCTCTAAAACAACCAGAACTTACTGTTTAGTGTCAAAACACCAACTCTGCCATAACATCACTTCCACACGAGATTAAAACTGTGCAGATCTCTCCATGACCTGTTGGTATGACCTGGTTAAAATCTATTAAAGATTATTAGGATCTGAAATAAAGGAATTTATTACAGTAGCATAATCTGACATTGACCAGTTTTAGAAAAAAAAATCAACATTTTATTTGAGTACATTTATTAATTATGGGGAAAATGACATGATTAGCATTTAACAGTATGTCCAAATTATTAATATTCATGTAAAAGAAGCATAATTAAAGAAAATGGAAATCGCTTATTGTAGGAATGAGGATTTTTGAAGTAAGTTTCTAAGGGGTTAGATTAAAAAATATATATGAAATTGATTGATTGATTGATTGATTGATTGATTGATTGATTGATTGATTGATTGAAATCATACAGTGCTTTGTAAAAACATTGTTGAAGTTTATATACACTGAATATAAAAACAAAATCACCAGTTTTTTTTCTGTCCTAAGCTAAATCGGATCAAACCTCTCTTGTTTCAGGTGAGTTGCTCCTATTTGCTAAATCCCAGAGCAATGAGAGAAAGTATGTGTCAGAGATGGATTCATTAATATGGCCAAAATTATATACATATGTAATCTCCTCCGACTGACCTAAAACAAGAGAAGTTTGATCTGATTTAACTTCAGACAGTGAGAAACAAAAGGTCTGTGAGTCAAAATTCTAATGAGAGACATTGAAGTTTTTGGTTGTAATGTGACAAAAAGTGCAAAAGCCCTGTAAGTCCAATCCAGATGCTGCATTTTACTTAAAAAGTAAAAAAAAAGAAAAAGCTCTTCCTTAGAATAACTCTAGCATGTTGGAAACATAACCATTTAACACCAGCACATGTGTGTAGGTAAGGTGCTGGTCCACTGCACGGTGGGAGTAAGCCGCTCAGCCACTCTAGTGCTGGCCTACCTGATGATCAGGCAGAACCTGACGCTGGTGGAGGCCATCAGAACAGTCAAAGACCACCGAGGCGTCATCCCCAACCGAGGTTTCCTCCGCCAACTCAACGGACTGGACGGCATCCTGAGAGAAAGCCGGAAGACATCACCGCAGAGCTGAAAACCCTCCCACACACACAACCACACACCCAAGCCAAGGTAGCAGCCATACACACGAAACAGAGACAAATTCAGAGCAGCATGTGACTTTCTGACGCCGGAGGCTCTGAGTGGCAAAAGGTGACTGAATGTCAGACTCTTCATTTCTTTTTATCTGTTCAGTCCTTTAACATGTACTACTGGTGGTGCCCATCAAGGTCACAGATTGATTAGTGGAGGCAATGACAACCTCACACTCTCCTTTAAAGCATTCACACATTCATTCAACCTGTCATTTTTTTAACTGAAGAAAAAATCAGGGAAACCCTCAGGGAAACAGCTGAGGGTGCCACTTTCAGGTCAGGTAACTGGAGAATGCAACAATTGGTGCGCTTCCACCCTTCAGACCAAGTACTTTACATTTGGGATTTAGGAGTATTGACATTTTAAAGACAAAAAGTTACTGATTTGATGGAAAATTGGTAAATGAGCATTGATAGAACGTCACTCTGCGGCATGTAGGTTGGAGAGGTTTTAAAAGCACAACTCAAGTCCCAAAAATACACGAGGCAACAAACAAACCCACACTGAAAACAAAGAAGTCGATCCAGCAGAGTCTGTTGTACTGCGATTGCCTTTGTACAGGAAGTCTTGGTAAAATCCCAACTAGTTTCTGAAGAAACCAACATCTTCTTCCTTTTTGGTTGACCCTTGACTTTAAACTTCTCACATTCCAGAATACACGGGTGGCTTATACGTGCTCACTTTACCAATTCATTCCAGTTTACTCAATTAACAAGCCACAAACAGGTAAGTCTAGTTCATTGTAAGTCTTGTTAGGACTAAAACAACCAGAACTTGTTGTTCTGGTTGTTGTTCTGGAAGACTGGTTGTCACATGTCTTCCAGATTGATCTGGAAGACATGTGGGAACATTCTTTCTGCCCTGACGTTTAGAGGCAGGGATCTGAATCGTCTTTTTCTACAAAGAACCTTTTAGGAGACTAAAAGTTCTCCCATATTTCATCCAAAGTCTCAAAATCACCCGTCATCAAAGTAATCGCGTGACGAAAATTGCGACATCTTTTTTACAGGGAGACATCTGCTTTCGCTTCTTGACATTAGGCCTGTGTCAAACTTTTTCGCCCAACATTTTGTCAGAAGTTTTGTCAGACGTCTGTGAGTGTGTGTTAAGCCGGAATGCGCTCGGACAGCAATGTTGAGTTTTCGCAACGACTGGTCCGCTTCCATTATCTGGTTTTTGTATCCACAGGCAACATGAACACTTTTCTGGAGCACTTATAGGATGTGATGAGGAAATACGTTCATTTGTATGATTCTTTGCTAAATACCAACCTACCAAATTACATGTTCATCTATGCCATGGCTTCTGCCGCTATGTTTTTGTCTGTCAAGAAGCAACAGCTCAATGCTGGGCGTGATGTATGCTGAAGCAAGAGGAGTTTTGCTAGGTGGTCTGCGGCGTGTATGAACCAGTGTGTTCGTATATTCATGGTCTGCAATCAAGTGACCAGGTGTCAACTGTTTGGCTTTGAAGGAATTATGGAAGAACCATCAGGAAGCTAGAGCTGTAGAACAGAGAAGGCTTACATGATATTCCCAGAGGCATTTTTTGAGGTCTTTGCTCTAGTACGTCGTTCCGGGGATTCTATTAAGGGTGTTCTGATTCTTTATAATGTTAGCCTCAGATACAGATAGAAGGGATCAGAAGTCAGTCCAGAGCCCTTTACATCAAGAAGAGTGGAAATGTTCTTGACTGTTTTTTCCGGCCGCAGGGTAGGTTGTGAACGTTCTCAAGGGATGGTGTATTTCTTCTGTCTTCCCAGCCATGGAGAATTTCAGATTCTTCTAAGGGAACTGAAAAACGTAGCTGGATGTTTGGAATTTCTGATTTAGCCTACATGAACATAGTAAGAAGTATCCTGTGCATTTAAACCTGGAGATCAAAACCAGGGAGAGTGGGATGCACAACTCCAAACTGCACAGATGTACTGCAGTGTGAGCACAGGATATAGCTATCTGACAGAGAAAGTCCCTGGTATCTATGTTCAGGTATTACCTAGAGCCAGGTTGAGAGTTGGGTCTGGTTCAGCTGCTGAGTCGATGTAGCAACAACTTCTGCGTTCACTTGGACGCTCTAGGACACTATCACCTTTCCTGGAGACCTAATCGGTTCAACTCAAATGCAAGGCGCAAGACAACATGTTTGAGCATGCTCCCCCTCATTGCCACCTTGCTCCACTCTGCATCACTTAAACAAAAACGGGTTTGGAAGCAGTGCACCCCACCCGCTGCTTAACCCCTTAACTGTCAGGATGACACCGGTATCTTCATGGACCCACTGACTTACATGTAAGCATTTTGACTGTAACAGTTAAGGGTGTAAACAGCTTTATTCTGAAACATAGAGTAATATAGCAATATTTTATCACCTTAAAAGAAACAGTACACACCATCATGATTCGTTCTTGTCCTCTCCTTGCATTATGTTCCAGAACCGTGTGAAGGCACAGTTCCAGATTTACATTCTTCTGCCCACATTGACAGGAAAAGTGACGTTCTGTTGTCAGCAATCTCCAATTACACAACCAGATGACTCTAAACTTATACACTGAATTTATAGACGCTGTTTTTACTACTCAGATGATTCCGTTTAATAAGTGCCCTGGCCTGAGCTATTGAGTCGTGCAGCAGTTGTAATATGGATCTAAACCAGCATCGCTTTCTAGCCGTTAGGTGTTCAAAATAACAACATAGATTTTTTTCAGTGTGAATAGAGTTTAGTTTTTGGTTTACTGCAGAATACTTTAACAGGCTCAGCCTTTCATCTATGTCCATTAGCACTAGCATTGCGCTGAATTAAAAACTGTCCAGTCCAGTGTGTGTTTAAGTGTTATATTGACTGGAAGGTCTCTTGGTTTACATCACAAAATAATACCAGATATGTGCCACTGCAAAAGCTACTAACTGCCTGGCTGACAGGAAGTGTTGAGTGTTCAGAGCCCTGTCGTACCCAGGGCATTCTGGGACTTGTGCTAAGTGGGGCTTGTGCTTCCTAAAATCATTCTCAGTTTAAGCTTGCATATTAAAAGTCTTCTTCAGTGTTGTTGTTAAATACTTAAATTATAGTGTTTCAAATATGCTTTCTGGAGTTGTATCGGCAAGACGAAGTTTGGGTGAGAAGACACACAGTTTGTCACATTACTGAAAATGTACATATTGGATATGAACGTTTGGATTTCTAAAGTCTAGAAAACAATCCAAATCTTAGCTAATTTAGAAATATCATTTTAGGGAGGCTTATCCTGCTCTCATTGGTCATCTGCAGTAGCGTGGACAGACTCCATCCACGTTTCCATATTGACCCTTTGTGTGTGACATCACACTCTTCAGAAAGCAGCTCACATGGCTGCTTGGATGTGCATAGACGTCCAAGCCACCTATGCACATGTTAACTCTTGCAAAACTTGTCAAAAACAGACCGTTGGTAGTCTAATATGGTCAAGCCATATTCAGGTCAAGTTAGGGCTTTACTTAACTTGACCAAATATGGTCAAGTTTACTTTCCTGAAATGCTTACTTTCAGGAAACATTTGTCTTTGGACAGAAGTCCAAATGTCTTAATCAAAATTCAAGGTTCCATTTAGTCTCTTTAAGCAGTGGGAGCTTTTGATTTAAAATATGAAGCAGCAGTCAACCAAAGACATGGAAATATATTTGAATGTTTATGTTGTCCAAATTTCCTGTGTCAGTGGTCCACCGTAAATACAAGAACATAATAGTCCCTGAAGATCATAACCACAATGCAGCTTTTGGTCGAGATTTGTAAAAGGACTAACAGCAGAAAGCTGCAGTGAGATCAAGCATTTGAAAATTATTGCTATTTTTGACCAATAAACACATTTAAAACTTGTGGACCAATAATTGTTCTTTTGAAACACAGGAATTTTTTTTTGTGGTATTATATTTAGTTTACATCAAAACTTGCTAAGTTAGTAACATGTTGTTACTGTGACATTTTTTTAACCCCCCAAAATGAAAAATATTCAGCAACAATTTTTTAACAATAAAGCCTGATGCTCAAATGGAGTCTGATCCTCCTACGACCCGTTTCATGTTGAACATTTTAAACTTAATAATCTTTGAGTCATCAGCTACCACTGCTTTAAGGTTTAATATAACATTTGGCTGTTATGTCAAATCACTTTCATTATGAATACACTTTATAAAACATCAGGCTGTCTCAGCTTGGAAAACAAGAGAGCTGAAAGTGGACATTACACCAAAATCTATTTCTAAGTGTTATGCTGTGGCTTACAGGTCATGGCTCCATTCCTTCACCATGTTGTGGCCCAGTTGATCACAGTGTTGCTGAGAAACAAAAAATAAAAAATAAACTCACCAGTGTTATTTCCAAAAGAAAGTACCAGACCACATCTGAAGATTCCCTCTAACTGGCTGACAGACGCGCTTTAGCAGGTTGTATTTTCTATGTGCTCGTTTTCTGATGCCTTCTGCATCTTGTGTTTTAATGTGGTCCATCTTGATGTTCGGTCTAAGCAGACAGCTTTACAAGGTTATTTAAGTGTTAACATTTTTGTGCAGATTAGGCTAAACTTCAGAGGTCTGATGTTTCTTCTGCTCAGTGTTCTCCTCCAGACAGAGGAGCATATATGATGTCCTATTAACAGCATTACGTGCTGATCTGAATAAGCTAAGCTACTAACAGAGATGGCAGTCAAAAAACAATTAAGAACTCTCCGAAAAGAACATGGAGGAAAATGTTTTCATTGTGACTTTCAGCTTTCCTGCGGTATGTTTTGTATTTGTGACGTTGTTGTGATGTGACCTGTTGTTCCCGTTTGTATCCCTGTGGTTCCTAGCAGCAGCCCTTCGATAGAAAGACTGGAATTCCAGCGAATTTATTTTTGTTTCACTCTGTCTGTGATTCCCCCCGAAAGGAGATGTTCATGCCTTAATCCGTCTTCTTCAACTTGGTCTCTTTACAGTGAAAAACGATGACAATTGTCAACTTTGTTTTGAAAAATGCTGTAATCGGTCATAAATAAATAGAAAAATCCTTTGAGTTTTACCGTGTTTTTTGTATTTAATACCCCTACATTCTACAATGTGAAGAATAAGTCACAATCAGATAATGCCAAACATGGCAGAGTAGCTTAGCTTTGCAAAGTTATTCATGACGAGTGAGTGTGGCTGTACTTTGGAAATATTTTAAAGGAGTTTTGGAATACTTTTACAATAACTTTCCTCAAATCTCATGGAAAACAGAGAGATACTGCTTTGTTCCCTTCTTTGTGCTTATGTGTGACGGTAAATGTAACTTTTGTTACTTGCCATGTCTGTCACAGACTATGACTTCACACCAAGTAAGTCTGAGGCAGCAGAAACCCAATATTTTTGATAATTTTTGCAGAAAATCTGGAACAAAAACCCCTCACAATTCCGCATCAGTACGAAAAATTGTGCCAATCATTATTCTGCGTGAATTTCCACAATCGTAAAAATCTGAAGGGACTGTTTTACAAAGCAGTCATTTTGAGACTGATTTAGTAGAACCAATTAGCTGGACCTCTGTCAAATTACATCAGCCACTTAAAAGGTCATGAATATTTAAGCAATCTCATTTTTATGCTCATCAGTGTTTGTCACTTTCTAGAAATTGTATGTTTATTAAAAAAACAAAACTAAAACAAAAAAATTGATTATCATTGTTGATTTGTAAAAGCCTTATGATGTGCTAACACATCTTGGTTGGGTTGTTAATGGTCCACTCAACCCAACCAAATGAAGAAAATGGACATGTTGCTGGTTCTATTCAGGTGAACCGTATCTCTATCAGCAATTTGGAAGAAATGCTGGTCAGTCAGTATGATCAGGATTTTGTAGAGCACCAGTGTCAGGAGCCTACTGAGAGGTCTGCAGAAGACAAATAGTTCCTGGATGTTATGTCAAAATCAGCTTTGCTTAAAGACGGTCACTATTACCTGAAGTTACCCTTTCGTAATCCCGAAGTAAAAATGCCCAACAACAAACAGGTGGCCCAGCAGAGGGCGCAATGTCTGTTAAAACTTTGTCACAAGACAAAGTTTTAACAGACATTGTTAAAGAAATGCCTGTCCATTTGGAATCTGATCCAGAGGTTAAAGATCAGGTCTAACATGTGCAGCTGTGCTGAAATAAGTTTGCTCCACATCTAAGCTGGTGGAGCAAACTTTTCCAGTTGGACAAAGCTAAAAAGATGTACGACATGGACTACTGGACTAAGTTGATGTTTTAATGAATTATGTGACAATAGAAAGATATTGAAGAGCAAAGTCTGCTAATGCTTAAATGTTAATATTAATAATACATTTGGTAATGGTCACTTATAAAGATATTAGATGTAATTCTTGTTGTAGATGAATTAGGGGCCGGGATGTTGTGGCCATTTATGTTAAATTTTGTGAATTGTAATTTCTACCTATTTTGTTTTCTTCTTTGGGCAGTTAGAATATATTTTAGATTAGAATATAAATCTAATTCATTTTTATATTTGGAATTATTTAGATTACTTTGGTAACTTTTAGACCTTCCAATTTTAAGAACACAGGTTGTTTGGTGGAGATCTGTTGTTTGACAGATGTCTGATGTGATGATGGGAGGTTTATGTAAAATGATTTTTTTTTTTTTACCACTTTTTTTAACTTGAAATGTCAGAGTAAGTTAACTTTCATTTTCAACTAAGTTGTAAGGGATTTTTAGTAGTTATTTTGTATAAAGCATTTAATTTCTTTCTAACAATCAAGTCGGAAGTGCGTGCAAGAATCAAACCACTTGTCACCGTCCACGACATTTGTTGGAAATGTTTGGTTTTGGAACCTAGAAGGCTGCGACAGGCACTGTATGAAACAAGTAGATGTCAAGTGAAACAAGTGTGACCACAAGTGTTTTCTAGGAACAAAAACCTACACAGTGGCTGGATTTATTTTTTTTTATTTTTTCTTAACACCAGTGTAATTTATGCTGATTTTTATAACAAGTGTTGTCCTCCAAAGAAAGATCACAGAAGTTACAAGATGTCCCAGCACAAATCTGAACACAGCAGAAATTAGATCAAACAGGAAGAAGGTATTTCATCAAGGTTGACTCATTGACCTTACAGAGTGCAGGTCAAACGGCTGCCCTGCTCATAGCTGATCACAATTAGCAATGGTAATCTTGCGACTTGTCCTGCCTCTATTTGAGCCGTAAGATTCCATCTTTTTGACAACATCGATGCCCTCCACAACACTGCCAAACACCACGTGCTTGCCGTCCAGCCTGCACAGCAGAACAGCCCATCATCAGTGTGTGTAGCAACACCGAGACCAAACTGAGGATCTGAACGAAACATCAGACTCACCAGGGTGTCCTTTCTGTGCAGATGAAGAACTGGGAGCCATTGGTGTTTGGTCCTGAGTTCGCCATGGAAAGGATCCCTGGTTCTGTGTGCTTCAGCGTAAAGTTCTCATCAGCAAACGTATTACCATAGATGGATTTGCCTCCAGTTCCGTTATGTTTGGTGAAATCTCCACCCTAAATATTCAAGAAAATAAATAAGTCTTCTGGAATCAGTGCTGCCATCCACCCATCCCGTTAGGTCAGAGCACGGACAATGGCAGTTTCCTGCACTTACTCTACCTGGCACATGAATCCGGGGATAATACGGTGGAAGATGGAGCCTTTGTAACCAAACCCTTTGTCACCGGTGCACAAGACCCGGAAATTTTCTGGAAAAAACCATAAATGTCACTATTCCTCAGACACAAACATCAACTGCAACCAAGAAAAAAAAAATTAACAGTTCGGAACCCAGTTTTTGGAATATAACTGACTAAAAGTGACTAAAAATATGAATATTTCTAATTATCAACCTCAGTCTGAAAATAATAAAAAAAAGCACTGGCACAGGTTATCTTTATTACATGATATTTGATAACCAGTGCACTCTTTTTTCTGTTCTTATTCGAGTTTCTTTTTTTTCTAAATCATACAGTTTCCTTTGAGTCACGTTGCATTTATCTAGAATTCATATCTTGGTGATTTTCTTGACAATATTCAGAATAAACTTAATGAATGAATAATAAACTCCTGAGGATTGACGTCCCATTTCCAGAATCAGGTGTGAATCTGTTTCAGCGAAGCAGCAGCAGCTCAGTTAGCTCTGAAGGAAGCTTCAGGGTCACCCACCTGCAGTCTTTGGGACCACATCAGCTCGCAGCTGCCAAGCAAAGAGGAAAGCAAATAAGTTAGAATACAAGGTGATATCAATCATTTTAAAAATCTTTAAAAAGTTAATTAATTTCCTCAACTAGGGTCCTGGCCCCTAGCTAGTTAGACAACTGTCAAGGCAGGATTGATTAAGGAGGTGATAATACTTATTTTTGTCATAATTAAAACCTCAATCTGTGCCAACCTGGTAGGGGGTGGGGGAAAGGGAGTGGGATGCTTGCAGTGTCACCAAAATCAAGTTATAGCCTGTGTTTCGCTCCCTAAGTCTAAAGGTCAGAGTTCACAGATGGCTCAGGGACAAAGGCTCACACTCTTGTTGGAAAACGGAGCACAAGGTGAAAACTTCTAAAAATGTACATTTCCAACTACACAAGTCAGACAAGTCTGCACAGCTTCCCAGTCATAGCTGCGGGGTGGGGCTCAGCACAGCAATGCCTCAACAACCCGGGCTGCGGAACAGGTTTGGTGGGAATCGTTTAGAAACGTTGAGAGCCGTTTTCTCGCAGATCTGGTTTCCAGAGAGCCAGCATTCAAACTGGCCCTATCTTCTTCATTTCTGACGGGGGTTTCCATGTGTTTAACATCTTTGGAAAGCTCAGAATCTGTAAATAAGTCAAAACGGGGAGGCTTGTTCATGGCTTTACTGGGACCAGTTACATTTTGCTTTCAGCTGTTTTCTGTTCTGACAGCGCAAATTTTGGGAGTTTCCACTTAACCCTTTCAGGATTTCTTATGACCTGCACGCAGTTTTAGACATTATTATTGGGGTCAGTGGCGAAATAAATGACATCAGAATACATGACTAAACAAAAGCAAAGTCGTCAGCACGGTCAGTCACAGGTACGGATCCCTGTCTTACTCCTGAACTCAGACTTACGTGAGCAGCTTCAGCTTACCTCCATTACGATCCTGCCAAGTGGAGCCCCATCAGCAGTGATGTCAAAGAAAACTCTGGGGTTTCCCATTTCTACAGCTCTGGAGGGATGAGACGGAGACGCGCGAGTCAAGACAACTCGCTAAGAGACTCCGTTTATTTTGGTTAAAAGGTGACGAAACGCTCTCTAACAACCAATTAATAAACCCGCACTACGAAAAACTTCAGAATGGACCAATAGGAATCCAGATAGGCGTGTGCTTAACTAGCTTCATGATATGACAACTTTTGAAAGCGAGCCAGAGACCGCAGGAAAACATAAATCACCTAATAAAACCCATATTTTTAATAGGCAAAGTTTATTTTATTTGAAAGTTTATTTTTATTTTATTGTTTAATAAAACCCCCAGAAAGTTTTTTTCCTTCATCTTTTTTACATCAAAAATAATACTACAGAAGCTTTGAATGACAGTATATCAAGTAAATGTAACTCAGCAATAAAAAGGGCAAGACAACTTCTTTTGGAGGAGTTCACGGTGCAAAAGCAGAGCGCTGTGCCCCCAACCCGGGGGTTCGATTCCCGACCCCTGCTATGCGTCTTCCCCTAACCCAGAGGTTCCCAAACTGTGGGGCGCGCCCCCTAGGTAGGGCGCCGTGCCATTGCAGGGTGGGCGCGGGAAGCCGTCTGGATGAAAAAACAAAAACATGAACGCTGTATGCGCTGGGTTTTTACCTTAGAATGGCCAACTCTCTGTTATTCCTATGTCAATTTGATACAGTAGAGGCTTCCACACTTCCCATATTTGTGTCCTCTGTCACTTTTATCAGCAGTTAAAACTGTTTAATCCATTGTTAACATGTCGTAACCTGTTTTTCCGAGGCGCCTTTAAACGCAACATGAGCGCTACGACACTTGCGCTGGTTTACACCTGTGCGGCAGTGAAGGAGACCTGCTGCTGCTGTGCGGAGCTATGCAGGTGTGTTAGAATCATGACAGCAAACCAGCAAAACGCAAAGAACTTTTCACAGTTTTTCCTCCAAACTAACCGACTGTTGAGTAAAACTGTTGGATGCAGGTAATGTTAGCTAAAAGATGACTAGCTTTTAGCTAACACCTTAAGCTTGTTAACAAGTAGCTTTTAGGCTACTGGTGTTGTTGTTGTCTATGTTCAGCTACGATTCATTTTGCCCCCAAAAAAGCTGATTCCCCCCTTTGTTCCGGGGCTGAGTATAACAGGGAGTCTCTAAGAATCCCCCCACCCCCTTTCCCTCCTTCACTGACACATATTGTTCAACCAGACAGCTATTTGTAAGCCATAAGGGGCGTTTGGAAACTACTGGGTCCCCCAAGAGAAAAAGTTTGGAAACCACTGCCCTAATCCATTCTCTGCCCATTTCCTCTCTGGAATAAAAAGCACAAGTACGGAGCCCCTGAAGGGATATTGAAGGGAAAAAAAAAACACACAAAAAACAAAAAACGTTTGCATTTATTTACAGTGATTGTAAAAACAAAGTACACCCTGTAAATAATAGTTTAAAAAGCCTCATTTCTGTATTCTAAAATTATTTAAATCTAATTCCGGATTTATAAAAATACAGAAATAATCCACTGCCGTTACTTCTAAAACAAAATAACTAATGATTGAAAAGCCTGCAGAGCTTCCATTAGCAGCAATTACTGATAGTCGTTTTATTATTATCTGCCTTCATCATTGCTCTCATGAACCGAGTCTTTGCCATTCTTTAGGAAATGTTAGCACAGAAAACAATTCTCTCCTCCGCAAATGTCTGAAAATCAGCCTCTGTTCCCTTTTGCTTTGCTGTGAGAGGTTTGACAGGCAGACCGATCCGCCAGGTCACGTCTGTACTGCTCAATTAACAACAGTCGCTCAGAGACTTTGTCAATATATTTAGTGACTTTACAGCCAAAAAACAAAACAATAAAAAAAACAACAAAAAAACCCCTCTGTGTCGGCCAAAATTACAATCGGCAGGCCAGACTTTAAAAGATCAGCAGCGATTGGCCAGAAAACTGCAATCAGGTGTTTCTCCCCAGAAGCAACTGTTGCTTCTCCAGGGTCATTGCTTGCTCAAGTAAGCTCCACAAGGTACCGATTCAAAGAGGCCGTCGCACTTCCTGATGATGATTTGATCAAGTTCTTCTGATTAACAACACATTTCCAGTTATTTTGGACCGATAGGAACTTGGATTTTGACCATTTTTAACTCCACCTTTGTTTAACCATTAATGAAAGTGTTCAGATTAAAACACTTCCATGCAGAAAGTCCAGTAACGTGGATCCCAGTCACACATGCCAAGAAACGTTTTCAATAAAGATGAAAGATCAAACAGTTTTTGCCAAATAAAGTGACTTTTAATTTAGATTCAGAGGTGGGAGGAGGGAAATAGTGAAGGGGGAGACAAAGTAAATATGGGTACAATGATGAATATGATTAAAAAATAAATAGAAAATAATGGCAATTACAATGTGCTACAAAATATGTGGAGTAGTTTACATATTTAAAAAAGCTTTTTCTTCTTCCTTTCTAGCAAATTTGCAGTTAAATAGTCCATTGTTTCCAAATATAATATCGCTGTTGCTCAAATTGGCAAAGAACATTTTTGCTGTAGTTACCTCGTTAAGGCAACGTTCAACCACAAAGGGTGTGGTTGCAAAACTGATCATAGAAAAAAAAAAAAACAAATAAACAAAACAAACTTCAGCTTTACAAAGTAGAATTAGGAACCAACCGTTGTCAGATGACTAGTTTCTGTCATACATGCGTCGTCTGCCTGTGTGTATGACACTGATAGTTTTTTCTTTTTTTTTTTACAACAGCTTTATAGTTTTCTAACATATAGAATGTATACAGTGCCAACAATGATCCATTATCCAACTAATGACAAAGTTACCATGATTAACAATTCTTTTGATACACACACGTTCTCTAATGAAAACAGCTGATTATACAGTACATAAACCCGCGTCTGGATGGGTTATACATGTCAAACCATTTAAAAACATACAATGGCAGAAAAGGCCATCGCACACATAGCTCTGAAAGCCCCGACAGAGGGAAGGAACGGTGGTGGTGCTGGTGTGGCGGGGGATGTTTTATTTTTTTCTTTTCCCACAGTGCTGAAGCACGTCGCAGACACAGTGAACCTCAGAAAACAATGATGCTGCGATTGCACTAAGTGTCACCAGAACTGGTCTGTTTTTGTTGTTTTAGTGAGTCATTTTCTAATTAATGACACTAAAAGCAAAACCATCAGTGTTAGTGGACTGATTTCATACGATGGAAATTCAAGAATGCAGCTCAGGTGGTTTAAAATTGCATTTGGAGTATAAAATGTATTGTTTTAGGACTATTTAAGCTAATGATACGAGGAAGTTACATTTTTGTTGTTCTGTCCAGGTTCCCAGTCCTAATTCTTACTCTCCTTCCTGATATTCAGACAAATGAAGAAATAAATAATTTAAAGGTCGACAAATAAATGATGTTGGTTTTGTTTTTTATGTCTTTGATGAAATATTCTGAAATGCCATAAAAAACTAAAGATTGTCACACATACAGATGATTCTATGAGGCAAGCTTTTCCCAAATAGGCTTTAATGTTGTCTTTAAAAATATATTTCTTTCTCTCTCTTGCTGTGAGAGAATAAAAACCAACTCTGTATGACTGTCTGTGTGAGGAGCTTTAATCTTCAAATATAAGTGACATCACAGTAGCTGTGCTTCTGTTACAAAACTGTCAATATTCCACTGATGTCGACAAAAAACAATTTCGCATTTGTGTTGTTTCCATTAAATAAGAAACGCAATTAAAATCACACATCAATAAGTTTGTTCAGACGATAAGTCATTAAAAACACTTTCACTCCATCATCGTCCAACTACTTCCCGTCATCGTCTCCTTCATGGTTTGCTCTAGCGGCAACATTTGATTGTTGATCATGTGACTAGTGTGATATGAAAACAATGTGTTTTCAATGCAGTTTTGCGAAATAAACTAATATCAATACGGTCAAAAACCAAATCATTGTAACGGCAAAATGTTTTATCCAAAAACGAGAGCGTTTTTGAAATTAGCGTGTTTATTTTTGGAATGTCAAACTGCACAAATTACATGATCACTGGAAACACAGCTACTGTTTCAGTACTGAGCTGATTTCTTTTGTAGTTTGGTTCCACTGATGTCTTTGCCTTACAGATGGGAACCTGCTCCTTTCCACTAAATATTTCAAATGCATATGGCAGAGGTTCCCAAACTGTGGGGCGCGCCCCCTAGGGGGGCCGCCGTGCCATTGCAGGGGGGGCGCGGGAAGCCATCTGGATGAAAAAAAAGCAACAAAAAAACATGAACGCTGTATGCGCTGGGTTTTTACCTTAGAATGGCCAACTCTCTGTTATTCCTATGTCAATTTGATACAGTAGAGGCTTCCGCACTTCCCATATTTGTGTCCTCTGCCACTTTTATCCGCAGTTAAAACTGTTTAATCCGTTGTTAACATGTCGTAACCTGTTTTTCCGAGCCGCCTTCAAACGCAACATGGGCGCTACAACGCTCGCGCTGGGTTTCCACCTGTGAAGGAGACCTGCTGCTGCTGGGCGGAGCTACGTAGGTTTGTGTTAGAATCACGGCAGCAAACCAGCAAAGAACTTTTCACAGTTTTTCCCTCCAAACTAACCGACTGAGTTGAGTAATGCAGGTAATGTTAGCTAAAAGATGACTAGCTAATATCAATACAGCACTTTAAGCTTGTTAACAAGTAGCCTGTAGGCTACCGATGTTGGTGTCTATGTCTAGCTACGTACATTTATTTTGCCCCCCAAAAAAGTTAGACAGGGAGTCTCTAAGAATCCTCTTCATCCTCTTCCCCCCCCATCCCCCCCCACACACACAGAAACACACACGTCGTTCAACCAGACAGCATAGGGCATAGGGGGGGCCCAGAAAATGTTTGGAAACTGCTGGGGGGGCCCAGGAGAAAAAGTTTGGGAACCACTGGCATATGGCAACATGAAGCAGCTACAGTAAAGTTAATGTGTGCATCCTTCAGCTTCCATCATCTTCCTCATACACACCTCCTGCCCCCCCCAGTCTGAGGCTTGTGCTTGTGTTTGAAATGCTGGCCTGTGGAGTTGGTGCCTGTTAGGCTCCCTTTTTTTTTTCTTCACTCGCCGTGTTCCTTCATGCACCTCCACACTGCACTGAAAGGACCTCATAGTACAGTAGGACACTTAAAAGACAAGAGACGAACAAAAACACTGGTATGCACGCACACGCTGAAGCGGGTGCAGACGGGGGGCCAGGCGGACCTCTTCGGCGCCGTCCACACGTCAGTTGTTTTCGAACAGTGCCAGCAGGTCATCGTTGCTGTTGTTCGGGAGGTCGGGGGGGCCCAGGTACGACAGCAGCTCATCTGGGTTGGTCAGCTCGGGAAGAAGCTGCAGGGCGGACAGAAATGGTGTGAGATGCTGAGGGTTCTGTACATTAGCATGACTATTTCTGTTTTTCATGGCGTTGCTGTTTCAAAGAAAGAAAAAAAAAACACTGATTGAAATTGCAACCTGCCTTTTAGCACAAAAAAAACACTTGCTGTGTTCCCCCACTGGCCTTACAATTGGAATTACAAAAATAAATGTGCTCAATGGAAACACACAAATAAAAACAAAAAAACCCCAAAAACTCATATTTTTCAATAAAAAGTTTTTGTGGTGTTTGTAAAAAGAGCTACTAATACCTGAACTATTCTACTTTGTTATTAATTAGCAAACAACATATAAGCTGAAAGATTCTGTTACTGCAAAACAAACCTGGATCATCATCCTGCCGCCATGTTTCATCCTGACCAAAGAACTTCTTCACAGTATTTTTCTTAAAAAAAAAAAAAAAAAATTCCCAAACAAGTTGTTCACTGTTTGTTTTTCCTTGTTCAGGCCTGATTGTCACTCACATCCAGCGCGTGATCGGCCCCCTCCCCTCCAGGGCCTCCCAGACCAAAGGAGCCTTCGCCCTGCAGCCGTGAGTTCTGTGTGGCTGAGCTCCTCTGTGCTAACGGGCTGCTGGCCTCGCCAAGACTCTGGTTGTTGTGGACCCCCGATACGTGCTGCTGGAGGATGCTGCCGTGCGAGTGCTCCATTCCTCCAGAGTGGGTCGCCTGAAAGCAGTTATAATATATAATTTTGCAATTAACTATACAATCTATAGGTTTTCTCCTACAATTATGTAAGCTAAATCTGAGGTCTAGTCTACATGTATGTCGATATCTGGGAAAACAAATTCATTTTTATGCGTTTTAGCCTTTCATCCACAAGAAAACTCAGTTTAATATCACTGAAAACATTAATTTATAAAAACTCAGACTAAAGTGGAGATTTGAGAAAACTGCATTTCTGTTTGTGTGTCTACATGGAAAAGCTGACAGAGTCCCATGCATTACAGCCTAACTTTCTGATCAACATCGCCTTGTGTTTTATTAAGTGTGTATTCTAATGCGTTATTTAAAAGTAGTTCAACCTCAATATCTGTCCACACAAATGGACCTCCTGGCACCATGTTGAATTTCTAACAGGAAGTTGTGGTTGTTTTGAAGCAATCCGATTGGCTGACAAGTTTTAGCTTTACACTACACTGCCCCCTGTGGGTTTGGCATGTTTAAAGCAACACTCAGGTTCGTATGGATGAAAACTTTTCTGAAACCTATTCTGCTGTGCGAGTGCTCAATATTAGGTTTTTAAACAATGTGGTGTAGATATTTGGTTTTGTAAAGAGCCGTTTGTTTGGCTTTAATATGTCTAACCTGCTCAGACGGGTAGGGGAGGGGGGGTTGCGGTCCGGAGGAGGTGTACTCTCCGAGTGTCGGGGTCCCAGGAGTGTTGGGGAAATCTGTAAATCCCGTTTGTCCGGAGAATCCCTGGCTTCCTGCAGAGCAAAACAAAGCAGGCACGACTTCGGTTCAGCATGCAGCATATCAGGGGTTTCCAAATATTTTAATCACTAGGGCCAAAATCGTTGAGCTACCTGGCCGGCTGTAGTCGGGGGTGTTCCTGCCCCCTGCACTCAGACTCTGGTATGGGGACGAAGCGGGCCCCAGGGCCGCGATCATTTCCATCACATTCGGCAGGACCATGTGACTCGGACTGACTGTGCGGCAGCGCTTCAGGACCGGACCGTCGGGCTCCTCCTTTATGTGGAGGTCGGGCTTGATTGGCACGGGTCTCCAGCCGCACACCGGGTCGATGGTGATCTCCTCGTAATCAGAACTGAGGGAGGGGAAACAGAACCGCTACGTTAGGATATAAAGCTCTTAACCAGTGGTGTATAAACATTTTTTTGTGCTGAGGACCAAAATCACCAAGTTGAAAAGGATTGAGGGCCGCCATGGAAAATATCATCAATATCATAAAAACACAAAAAGATTATTGTGAATTCTTTGTCTTTTACTCATGATGGTGTATTGGAGTCACTGTATATAGAGGGAAAAATGTGTAAATTTTCTAGAAAAGAAACTCAAAAGTTTTCATCTTTTGAAACTCAGAAAGTTCAAAGTTTGTTTCTAGTAAATTTCTGAGATTAATCTAAAAAATTCTGTTTTAATTTTTTTTTCTATCTACCATTGCCCTAATGACCAGTTACACTGTATTTACTTGCACCACAATAAATTAAACATGTAAGATTTTGTAATATTTTGCATCTTAATGTTTACCTGCTGTAAACATTAAGTCAAATGTTCACCTGTTTAACCTGTAACTTTTCAGACTTATTTTCTATTTTGTAGGTCTGTAAAATGGTTTTGGTTTATTTTCAGCAACAAAAATAAGGATTTTCTTCTAAAACTGTTGCTGTATTTAGTGAAACATGGCCAGCATAAATCATTGGATGTTTGTGGCACCGATTATTGGGAAATTCTTTGTATTGCACTTAATATTTTCCGTTTAACAAGATATAAACATGTCAAGGAAAATAACATCCTAAAAAATGACAAGTTTCAGAAGGCCAAAATGGCCCCCGGGGCCGCACTTTGAAAGTCCCTGCTCTACAGTAAAAACCCTCAGGACCTTGTTGACTCGCTGTGTTTGAGGTCAACTGAACAATCTGACATTGATTTATTTACAGAATCATCACACACATGTTCACAGATTCAGGTTTCAGTATTTTGTTAATCTAAAAACTTTTAATTTGAAAAGCCTCTAAATTCCAGCTGTCTATCCCCCATTTCAGTTCTCAGTCTGTGTTTTTCACTCAACATAATTTTTATATGGGTTGAAAAGTGTCACTTTTTCTAAAACAAGTGTTTCACAATTATGTGCTTTTTTTTTTTGTTTTTTGTTACTTACTTCTGAATGTAGACCAGAATCCCCAGCATGTACTGGTCGACCTCCAGGCCTTCTAGCAAAGCTGTTTTACTGCAATCGAGAGGAGCAGCCAGTTGGTTCAGTTTCATATCAGCAAAAGTAGATTTGATAGAAAAGTTGCCTCTGTACGTACTTGCACACAGGACACCGCCACGTCCCTCTTTCACAGTTCAGTTGTAAATAAGACTCCAGGTCAAAACACTTGAAGAAAAAAAAACAAAACATGGCCGCTGCGTGTTAAGTTGTGATTTGGAGCAGTGGAGGTGTGTGATGTGGAGTGATGTGTGACCTCACCTGTATGTGCCTGCAGTCGTGGCCTCTGGCCGGCAGCTGGATTCGTCTGAATGTGATCGGACACTTGAGGGAGACTTTGATTGCAGTCTGTTCCACTCCGTCCTCTCCGTTTAGACCGGGCGTCCCGGGAATGGTGCCGCTACTGAAGTTTCGTTTTACTGCAAGAAAGGCAGAGCGGCGACAATATTTGACTACGCCGTTGCTCAGGAAACACTCCAGCTGTCAGACAGCAGCAGATAAACACAGAGATGCTGGTCACTGGCTGGTGACCGGAATCAGATGATTTATAGCTCGACTGACCTTAACCAGCATTGATTAATCATTAATATCAGATGATAAACTCCACAACTTTCCTTTGCCTTCAAAAATGAGTAAAACCCCTTTGTGAAGAGACTGCTTCCACATGTACAAACTGTTATAAATGTGGTTCATATAGTAAAAGAAGAGCTCCATATAACTTGAGTTTCTCTTCTCAGAAAGGAAGTTTTTGAATGTTTGTTCCTTCATATCTCTTTTATTATTGTTAAAGAGAAATCTGAAGCTGCTCAAATCGGTTTTGTTAGGTCAGATCAGAAATTGGCCAAGTTAGGATCAGTGCACCCAAGTTGAAACCAAAATGGAGTCCCAGCCCCTAAACACCCATTTGACTTTGTTTTGCCTGACAAACATTAGAAATACTCGTCTGAATGAAGAGCGATAGAAGAAAACAGCTGGAGTTTTTCCTGTCAGAAAATTGGCTACTTATATGGGTTGAAAAGTTTCACTTTTTTCTAAAACAACAGACAAACAACGGTGACTTGATGGATCACATGTACTGCAGTGAAACATCCGACCCGACATGGATTCACACGTGTGAATGCTTCATTTAAGAGTGCTTTAAACCTCTAAAGATGGATACACAAGAATATTTTTATTTTAACTTGTAAGACATGCCTAAAACATGTTTTTTTTTCTAGAAAACACTTGTTTTGTTGTGTTTTTTCTAGAAAACACTTGTTTTCTAGAAAAAAAAACACTTGTTTTTTTTTTTTCCAAAGCTAAGCTGAAGTTAGCTTTGAGGGATAACTCCAGGAAAGAAATGTTTAGAGATTAGGTCTTCTAAATAATAATTAAAAAAAACTATAAGCTTCATAATAACAAAAAAATAAAGTATAGTATAACAGACATAAAATACATAAAACAAATCCCAAAAATGTAATTAAAGCCCTCACTAACTTCCATCACTGTTTATTAAAAGTTTCACATTCTACAGGAAAAAATACATTTGTAATTTTGACAGGCCTGCCACTGATGTGTGGAATCAGATGAAAATATCGTGTAGAAATGAAAACATTGTTGCAAAAACAAGAAAATCAATAAAAATAAACAAACAAACATTATTTTAGCTTTAATTATGCTTTTATAAACCTTGATATGCAAAGAATTTGTGGAATTTCCGTAACACTTTTCCTTCTGGTGGCATTGTGTCACCATGGTTACGTGAGGCAGATGATCCCGGATGCTTGTGAGAAATGAGCAGAGACAGCAAAAGCCTGTTCCCGTTTCCAGAGTTCCTTAACAACATCAGGTGGATTCTGTGGCAGCCCACCAGGGACCAGACACGTCTCACTGGGACGACTGCAACTGACACTAGGAAGCAGTCCACAGCTGCTCTACTGGTGGCGTCCTCATTGTTGCCATGCAGCTCCTCTTCTCTGCTCACTGCAGTCAAGCTGAATAGCAACTCTGGTCTTCTCAGAATAGTTCAAACTCAGTCGGACCGGTCTGCTCTTTGGATCTTCCACCATAGCTTACAAGAACTTTGATAAAAAGAACCAACTAAGAACCAACTAATGCAGCTGTTCAAACTTTTTTAGTTTTATCTGCTCAACAATAAACAATTTTTAGGAAATCTGTATATCATTAAATATAGAAAAAAATAAAAGGGTTTACTAAAAGAAAAACAGACATTTCCAAAATTTTGGGGGTCATTGGTTGTTTGTACTGTTCTTGACTTGTGAACAAATGACTCTAAAAGAACTAGTGAATTTTTTAAAACTTTGTAGGGAAAAACATTTACTTCAATTTTAAGAGCTCAGATTGTACAGACATTAAGTGTATGTAAATAAACTTTAGAGGAAATAAAAAAATTTTCATATAATTTTCCACAAACATCAACACCACATAGACGAAAATGAATCCATCCACTTTACTGTAAAAATATTGAGTCTCTCTTTACTCTTAAAATGTAAAAAGAAATAAAATGATGGTTCTTGAAAAATGAGAAAAGATTGTTTGCAGGAGGTATTAATCAAAATGTATAAGCAATGTTTTTTTCAACTAAATTATGTAACTTTTGTGGCTCTAAACATGTTTTATTCAGCTGCACTGAGGGCAAAATGGCTGTTTGGATTATAAAGGTTGCAGATCAAGCATAGTGCAAGTTTACTCACTCTTGGTGATGCAGTGCTCAGCTGGCAGTAGCCTCTTCTTCATCAGGCCCTGCAGGACAGACCTGACCGATGGCCGGTGGACCAACTGCAGCACAAACAGGTGAGACTGTGGACAAAGAAACAGGAGGGGACAAAGTCAGCGTGGGATTCTGCATCCCTGTGATCCGTGATCTAGTAGAGTGTCGCTGCGGCGACCGGACAGATGAGGCATCTGGACTTACGCAGCAGCATGCCGTCACGGTGATCTGCACGGTGTTGCGTCCCGGTTGACACACTTGCTTTAGGTACAGGGGCTTATGGGAGGTCTTGTTGTCCCCTCTCTCAATGGACAGAGGAGTTGCGTTAACGCTGACCTGAGACAGAAAGTTCAGAAAAAAAACAATCAAGAATACAAATCTGTCGCCTTTTAAGCATGTCCCGATGTAATTTTTACACTTACGATACGAAACCGATATCTCAGCTTTGAGTATTGACAGATACCGATGTTGATAAGATATTAGCAAGAATCATACACACTTTTATTGCTTATTTTGTAGTGTGGAATGTTGGAGCAGGCTTGATAAATTGATATTACTAAAACAGAGAACAATAGTCAACAACAACAGGTATGAGAACAAACTCATTTATTATTAACCAATGGGACTGTACGTGGGATACAAATGCAGAATGAGGTGATCCGATACTCGTTTCTGGCTGATATCGGACCACTCTCCAATAACACTTGTGGTTTTATATTCTCTAAACTGCTGAATCCTGTAATTTAATCGGTTCTGTGTCCATGCTTACATACCTAAAGCGCTAAATGCTCAAAGTGTCACAATCTCTGATGGCACGTTTCTTTTTCTCCAACATAATTTCTCTTCCACAAATTCACCTCCTTGGATTCAAACTTAAAAAATCCTCAAATACTTTTTTTTTTTTTTTTTTGCCACAAACTGAGCTTTATGCAGTTTGACCTGCTAAAATATTCAGCTCATGTAGAGATGAGAAAGAAACTCTGGCAGGCTGGAATTGAAACTGATGGCCAAAATATAAAAAGTTGAATAAATGTAATATGTCAATATATATTCACAAAGGCACATATTGAGACCATAAAAACACCATAAATCCCAGGCCTTTACGCTAAAGACAACTCGCAAACATGTGACATCATCTCAGCTTATAATATAAAGCACCTACAAAAACCTGAACATTGTTTACTATACAACTCTATGTACTAAAAATCAGAAAAGGCGCTGAAAGAGATTAAAGCAAATGAAGTGACTTTATAGAAGATGATATTCCAATTGCCATGTTTATTAATCATATCACCATCACATGATTTTATATTATCCAACCATCGATACTGATAGAAAAGGAGCCACAAAACTCATCTCTACATGCTTATAGGAATTCTGGAATTTATTTGCCACTATGGCATTAGATGCAATAATATGCACTTTCATGCAAAAATGGGTCTAGAGACATTTTCTTTTCATGCTGTTGTTGCAACAGTTTCCTCCGAGACAGTCATTAATGAATAACAAAATAAGTATTTGTTCAATTTTGAAGGTGACAACAACAAAATAATAATACAAAAAAACTTACAATAAAGTGGCTGTACTGATGTTGGATGACCTGCATTTAGGTACAGTTAGTGATAACGGCAGCTGGCCCTGCCAGTGGCTGACTGCTGCCGTTAGCGCTGATGTCAAATGAAGAAAATATGCATAAGATAGGCAAAGAGCTGCTAATAATTATCTAGATTTATGGTAGTGAGCAAATCGCTGATTTTATCCTTTTAATTATCCATGTACACATATTGATTGTTGCAGATTTGAAATGGGTATAATAAGAGATTAAAACTGTATTTTTCTGATGTTATCAGTTTAAATTAGATTAATGGGCTGAGTAGGCTGCTAGCAAATGAACCGTTCTTAGGAAGCAGTTTTAAATTGTCCCAGGAATTACAGCCATGAACCATAATATTGTGGCATTTTCAAGTTATGTCAAGATAGTGAAATAAGAATGGAAGTACATCATCTTAAAGATCAATAAACTTTAATTAAAACCGGAACTGGAAAACATTTTGACTATTCAAAATAATAATAAAAAAAATTTAAGATGGAAATAAAATCTAAACATAAATGAAACCATAAACAAAATGGATTATGACGTCTCCGTAAACAACACTGCCGTCAAAAAATAATCATTAGGTTCAGACAGGTAAGAGGCAAGACAGCCTAGAACATTTGTCATAAAGGAGCTCATTTTCATTTATGATGTGATTAATTGATTTATTGCTTATTGCCAAAGGCTTAGTGGTTGTAAGAAGACAAAATGTTCAAAAAGAACTAAAAGAGCTCTTTATCAAATGGTTTCTGTGTTCTTACAGTTTCAGAACCAAAAGCTGTTATTACACATGTCGGCCTCAATGTTGTTCTTCCTGTAAGTCAGCTGCACTGCAACATGGCGGCCATAAAGAGCTGTCCCAACATTTCCACTGAGTCAAGATCAGTGTTACTAATTTAGTCAGACAATTAAAGGTCAAACACAACTTCACTGAGGTAACTTGGCCTCAATCAGCTGAGTAGATGAATAAGGAGAGTCCACTTTAAAGACTTCTTTGACACACATAAAAGATACTTTATCGTGAGAGTAAATAGACAAATAGCTCATTTCAAATATATGAGATCAATGCAAAGTGTCTACATCAGTGAGTCAGTTTGGATTCCTTGAACATGAGACGAATCCACCTGAGAGCTGGATCCAGTGAAAAAGGTTGAAGGTGCTGCTTACCTGCACAGAGGCAGGCCAGTTAGTGTTCATCTGCCTGTCTTCATGGTGGTAACATTTGAACTGTAGCTCCAGATCTGGTCTGTAGGGGGAGACGCAACACAGTGGTCAAACAGACCCATAGTGGGGTTTCCTAAGCATCTGGGTCTGTTTCCTGTGTTAGATAAACAGCTCAACTTTCTGTGTATTTAATCAAATTCACGATACTTTATGATAAGCATAAATTCAAGAAGCCAGAATGCTGTAAGCCAAATCAAAAGTGGCTTCAGTGTTAGCTTAAGTATGTCTTCATGTATGCAACAGAGTTATTGCAGCTTTTTAGGTTTTACCTTTTTTCTTCCAACAGACCGATTTGTTTTTTTAGTTCAGTTCTTCATAATAATAGTCACAATATACTTGGAAAAAGTTCTGATAATAATAGTCACAATATACTTGGAAAAAGTTCTGAAATTACTTTTATAAAAGTTTCCTTTTTTTGCATCACAAAAACATGGTATTTGAATAGTGATGTAGACGTGCCGATTCCCTTGTACATGACCTGATCAGCCACCAGGTGTCATACTATGGTAGCAAAGTCACAGTGTTAAAAGCCTTCAATCATTTCTTTGATCAAGAGAACCAGACTCAAGTCTTTTTCCTTGATGGAGATCACATATGAACTACTTTATTCATATCTTCTCACCTCATCACCAGTGTTTTGTAGACCGAGTCTCGGAGCTGGAATGCATGGTTGCTGACAGCCAGGTTGTGCTCCAATCGGAACGGCTCCAACACCACGCCGTCTCGGACCGGGAAGGTCAGACGCAGGTCGTCGCTAGGGTTACCTTCAAAGGGAAACATATCTTAGTGCTGGAATCAGTAACAAAAGTTCAAATTCTATATCAATAAACTGCAAACAGATGCAACCAGTAAAACGTATCAACTAAGGCAGCCTGAAGTGACCCAATTCAGATTTTTTTGACGTAAAGATCAGACATGTATCTGATCTTTTCATGACAGTCTGAACAACACAGGTCAGAGTCTTTTTGAATGCAACCCAGGCCACTTGGGTATCCAGTAAGTATCCAAATCAAATGCGACCTAACATCCAGGTCACATTCATCCAACCTGAACATCACTCGTACTCGACAAATGTCACTATTCTGCGACCTGATACACGCAAGAGGGAAGAAAACAACAAGCGTTACAGACAATATGAGGATTAAGTTGTTAATATGCTGCTCTGGTCAGACAACTTCAAATGTGTAAGCTGTGCTCCACCGTTAGCATCCACGTTTACTTCTGCAAACACTGAGAACGCTGACGTTACGCTACTGCGCATGCGGGACACTTTCAGGTCATCTGCCCGTTCACACTGCAGAACACATACAGGTGGCATTTATTTAGAAGTGTGAATGGCCACAGCAAAAAAAACAATCCCATTTGACAAGACAATCTGAATTGGGCCACTTCAAGCTGCAGTGTGAAACCAGAAGTTTACATACAGTGGATAAAAAGACTGCCTGAAGTTAAATTCAACCCTTTATCACCTTAAAGAGACATTAATAATTATTTTAGTAATTGATTTTGAAGACATTAATAAATCAATCTCTGGCATGTTCTTTCTCTCATTATTATGGCATTAAGCAAATATAAATAATTTTTGATAATTCTAACTGATCTCAAAAAGAAAAATTTACTCTGATTCAACTGTACGAACACTTCCATGAAAGTGGTTTCATACTATGAAGAATTCAAGTGTGCATCATGGCAATGACAAAGAGGAAGTAACTTGTTGCCCATCAATCTGGGAAAGGTTAAAAGCACCTTCCCAACAATTTAAAGTCTGTCATTCTGTTTCAGGAGGTTATTCCTAAAGTGGAAAACATTTCGGACAGTTCCCTGCAGTGGATGTCACATTAAGTTCACCCCAAAGATGAAACAGTGCTCTACTTGGAGAAAATACTAACATCCTTAGATTGCACGGGCTGTGTTAGTGTTACAGACTAAAGATTGCAATGATGCAATTCAAAAAAGAAAGCAATGTGGGAGAAAGAAAGCAGTCTTGGGACCCTTCTAGCTGAGAAGGCTCCGAAGAGTAGGAGAACATTGGGTGGCTTAGGTTTGCAAAGTTGATATTTGAACAGAAAGGTTAAATGTGATGTTTGGCCATAAGAAACGATATGCTGGAGAAAAATCTGATTAAAAAGAAATCAAATGTATCTTGGAGCATTACGGCCAAACATCGGACATGGACCCTGCAGTCATTGAGTCGACCATGACCTCTTTATGTATTCTAGAGCCGAATATGATAACATCTCTCTGTTTCCTATTGTTTTGCTGAAGTTGGATCCTGACACTCTGATCTAAATCCTGAAAAAGTTTTGCATGTCGGCAAATCTTAATGAACTTAGGGAAACACTGTGAACACACTGATGATGTCACGCAGAATATGACCACCAGGAGTCACTGCAGCTGATGGCGCTTCAACAAAATCCTTTCACAGCATTTTGGCTCTATATAGTCCTCTAGGGACCACATATATGCTTTCTATATATTTGTTTACATATTTGTTAAAATTGTCACTATGTCCTGACAGGAGAATATGAGACAAGTAATCTGGAAAGTAATCCTCTGCCTTCTCCATTTGGCCCCACTGTCGTCTGTAGAAATACACCACTCCCTGTCAGTGCTGTCAATCAAGTTCATATACAAGCTACTCTCACACCCTGCCCCTTGCTCTCTGCTACACAACAGCTCCTCCCCTACAGCAGAGCCTGCCATGAATGCTGAGGCTAGTTAGCATGGCCATAGATGATGGTGGATAAACAGTTTCCTGTGTTGTTGGGTATTTCTCTATTATTTTTTTAGATTATCTGTCTCACAGATTTAACAAATATGTAAAAAATATATTTTTATAAAAGTTACATGCTGCGTCTTTAATATCTCATGGGTTCTTGATCATCTGAGGTTGTATTGTTCTTATTCTAAGATGAAAGAGGGTGTGGCAACATGTAACCCTGACCGACCTGTGGAGGGCTGCTGGGTGCTGATGTTGGCTTTAGAGTCCAGTGGAAGGTAGGGCGGCTTGGTGTCCTGGCCTGGAGAGAGGTAGGGGGGTATGGAGCTCCCTGGGGTCATCGGTGGGGTGGGGTTCCCTCCCATCGGGGAGTTGGGGTACCCAGGTATCACTGCACCTCGACCTGGCTGAGAAAGAGAGATGAAAACAAAGTTAGAACTTAAATTTTTTTTTTCACATTGAAAGTTTCCATGCTTGGCTCCGCTTGTAGATGTATTTAGGTTAGAGTCTAACAGAAGGCAATAACTGAACACATTGAAGGAGTCTTAAAAGACTTACCCCGTTGACTGCAGCCTGTGTAAAGGCATTGTAGCCCCCTGCTGCTCCAGATGGTAGACTGCCCTGGCCATTGAAAGGCTCTGACTGGAAGCCACAGACAAGAAACACAATGTTCAGATAATTCCTCACCTATCTTGAGACAAAGAAATTCAGCATCAATGTTAAGAAGAAATCCACACAGGATTCCTCAACGATTCTCAAACATTTATTCAGGTTAAATTTTGAACATAATATAATTTGAAATATCAAAGGCAGGAGATCTGAATTTTGAATTGAAGGCTCCGTGATGTACTTGTTTCACAAGTTTTCAAATTAATTCAGCTTTAAACAAAATTCGGTAATAGTCAACCACAGTGAATCTGATCACCTTATAGAACTGTGGAGGATTGGGCTGGCTGGCACCAGGAGGGAACTGTGATGGGTTGTGGGTTCCAGATGTGTACGGCCCCATGTGAGGCATCCGACTGGACGGATAAGAGGGTGACGGTGCGCATCTCTGCTGCGGACCACTGGGGTACTGCACAGGCTGGTTGGAATACCCAGAGATCCCTCCGGAGCTGTACTGTGGCCCCGGAAACCCCTGGGAAAAGAGACGACAGTTAAAGAACCGCACAGGTTCAGCCGCAGTCGGAGTCCTAAATGTCAGTAATGATTGAAAAAAAAAAAAAAAAAAGTCTAAACCTCAAAAGTGAAGTTAAAACCTCCACTGACCTCTGAATGGAAAGGTCGCTTGAGGCCCTGCTGTCCGCCTGAGAAGCCAGCGTGCTGGGGCATCCTCTGGGCCTGCGCGGGGTGAGAGGGATACAGCCCACCTGAGGAAGGTGGCAGTCCGGGCCTCAAGGGTACCATCCCGCCGTGGTTCATCCCTGGGGGCCCGCGGGGACCAGAATGAGACAGGAACTGGTTGCTGTAAGGGGATGCTCCACCCATCTGACCGGGGGAAGAGGGAAATAAAACAGGAGGCGTAAAAACAAAGCCTGCTGGTTCTTTTCTGCAGCCTGGTCGGCTTGTAGAGCACAGGGAGGGAAAGTTACTGATAAACTAATGACGCCAAGTTACAAGGAGGTCAAGAAAATGTTTTGATAACTTCTACTAACAAGAAGTCAGTTATCAGGACATCTGCAATCATGGGTTGTCTGGTTGCTAAGAGATTATGTTAAGGCAAGACATGATCTGGAAAACAAATCAAGAGCCAATAAAAATACATTTCTGTGAAAACAAAAATAAAACTTCAGCAAAATCTGCAGAGTTCAGCTGGCTAAGTTTATGATCACTAGAACTTACATTTAAAACCTACATAAGTTCTGTAAAATGACTTTATTAACTGAATAACTTTCCTACTCAGTAACTTAAAGTTGCCTGAGACAGGTAAGCATAAGTTGGTAATTTATCTTTACCTCTGCGTGTGAGTCAATTTACGCTTAAAGCTGCAGTGTGTAACTTTTATAAAAATATTTTATATATTTGTTTAAACTGTCACTATGTCCTGATAGTATGAGACAGATCATCTGTGAAAAAAAACAAGCTCCTCTGCCTTCTCCCTGTCGTCCCACTGCCATCTGCAGAAATACTCCACTTGGTCAGAAACAACCAATCAGAGCCAGGGGGAGGGTCTTAGCGCTGTGAATCACCCTAGTCAGCCTTTTGGGTGGGACACCAACCAGCTACTTGGTGTCACACCTCAAAATCTGAATATCAAAATATTCAGATTTTCTGAAACACTGAATGTTGAGTTTTCATTATCTGTAAGTTTTCATTTTTAACTTGAAACCACTCCAGGGGTCACAAAGTTTTTTATATTTTTCCTTTTTTTTTATAACTGCAAAAAAACTATGATTTTTTTATTTTCACCTGCTAAATAAACAATAAACTCAACTCACAACATTTTAACGAAATAAGCAAAGAAATCAGATTTCAGTAGACGAGGAATGCATAAATTATTGTAGAGTTTAAACCAAAAAACGGATCTTGCAGGTTTGCCATATTAAAAGAAAAACATATCATACATTTTTTTGATTTTCTAGATTTATTTTTTGTCTGTTCAGCAACAAGAACAGGATGTGGCCCAATTTTGCTAAGATCATGAAATGGACATGCCAAAGCCAAGGGACGTTTATGGTCCCCTCTACTAATAAATAATATTAAATTGAAAATGAAAATCTGGATAAATACTTCATGTTGGTAGTCCAGTCACAATAATGAATTTTGCAAAACTTCTGGCAAAATTTTGAATTTTGCCAGAAGTTAAAATTATTGTTTTCAAACCATTTTCAAGTAATGTAATAAACTTTAAATTATATGAACCTTTGACACTGAAACTAGAAGGCATTTCAAATAGTCAAAATAAATAAACAAAAAAACAGAAACAACAAATAAATGAATTCTGAAGTCTCTGTAAACAGAACTGTTGTTCAATTAAAGAGACTAGCTGAGAGCAAAGCACCAGACTGAAGACTTTTGTCATCCAGTTTCTGGTAGAAAGAGAAAAGACAAAATAGAAAAACAATAAGTCATCATTAATTAATTTATCTATTGTTGATTGTGACAGGCCTATCTGTTGCATCTTACATTGTCCATTTTAAGATTTTACTTGTATCTTTTTTGAACAATGTGGCATAAGTAAAAAGTTCAAATTTAGGCTATTCTGGAATTGTGATCAAGGATCGCCCAAAATGGTTCAGAGAGCCGCAATTTGGACACCAAAGCAGTCCTAGTTCTTGATATTGCAGACACTAATATTGACATTTGTGAATTAGTCTAACTTTTCATTGGGTAAGTGAATTTGTAACTGAATACTTAAGCAGCAAACATGGACAAAAAAAAAAAAGAAAGAAAAAAAGCAAACATGAAATTCTAGGACCAGAATTGCCTTGCAACCACAGATTGAGTTCTTTCTGCATCTCAGCCAGATGTTGGGGGTTTTCAGCAGCTTTTTCAGCCAGAGGGAGAGATCTGGCAAAGAATCTGCTGGGACGTGGATTATAACATCCACGGAGTGAATCTTCCCAAGACATGTGTGGAGGGGTTGGGGTGTGTTTTTAATAACTAATACATACATCTGCTTACAGATGTATGAAATCTGCTTACATTTCATTTCAGCAGTTGCAGCTCACAGCGCTGGTGATTCAGTCTGTTCAGCTTCGACAGTGACTCATACAGTGTTTAAGTTTGAATGGCAAGCCAGTATCTAATTATGCAACGTCTCTGCTGGTAATCAGAAGCATGTGTCCTGGACTTGATGTGAGCATGAAGCAGAAAAACAGCTTCTGATTTCCAGCCCTGCAGCTAAAACGTTCCAACTAAAGAGCAGAGTCAGAACCAAGACGTTTGGAAACTTTTACAACCAACATTCCGGCTTGTGTGTGTGTGTGTGTGTGTGTGTGTGTGTGTGTGTGTGTGTGTGTGTGTGTGTGTGTGTGTGTGTGTGGAGCTCTTAGAAACTGTTTTTGTTCCAAGAAGTATGTGTGTGTTTTTTCTTTCTCTGAGACATTTACCTGACCGTAGCTCAGCTCCTGGTTCTGTTTCTCCTGTATTGCTGCGACCGTTGCCGTGGCGGTGGCAGTGGCTGTGGCGGCGGCCGCGGCAACGGCGGCAGCTGCAGCCTGAGTGAAGTCGGAGGGGGCGCGGACGCCCAGGCCCGCGCCTCCGCCGTTGCCGGAGTAACTGTGGCAAGAGGGGAAAGACGCGGAGATGAGTGGGCCGCGGTCTTAGTCAGCTGAGTGAATGAGTGTGTGAGGTGTCGTCACGGCGGTGAGTCACGGTGGTGGGTGACAGCAGCCACGCTGGCATATGTTGGTGTGGAACCCCGCTGGAGCAGAACAACAGCTCATGACATGCAGCATGAAAACATTACAGGCTGCAAAAACCTGCTCAAATCGGCCATTTAATCTGAGGGATGAAGTAAAACAGATGCCACAGCCCAGCTGCAGATTTTGCTCACCTTTAAAGCTGCAGTTTGTAACTTTTCACATTTGTTTTCTTTGCATATTTGTTTAAACTGCCTCTATGTTGTGACACCAAAGCATGAGACAGATAATGAACAAAAAAAAAAAATCTGCCTTCTTCCAGTGCTAACTAAAACAACCAATCAAACCCAGGAGGAGGGTCTTAGCGCTGTCAATCACCCTCTATTTCATGCTTCTCATACCCACTTTCTCTCTGCTGTGCTACAGCTAGCAGAGTCTGTCCAATGATGGTGGATAAGCAGTTTTCCTATAATGGCAAGCTGTTTCTCCATGATTAGCACATTGAGCAGCAAGTACGTTAGGATGATTGACAACTTTAAGACCCTCCTTCTGGCTCTGATTGGTTGTTCTTGGTCAGAGCTGTGCATTTATTCAGATAGCTTTAGTAAATCAGGAGATCAATTTTTTCACAGATAATCTTTCAGATTTTACCCTTTCCACCTACCACTTCTAAAGTGATGCTTCAAAATGTGTATAAAAATGTCGATGAAAACACGGCTACTGAGCAGGATGCTAAGGTAAAAAATCAGATTGAGATTTTCGGCGTAATTTAAGCTGGTTTGGGTTTGGACGATGTAGAGAGACTGCGCAGAGGAAAGGTCAAAGGTCAAACTAAGTATAATTCAACTTTGGATAACACTGAGATTTTACAGTAGAGCAAAGTAGAACACTTCAGCCAGAAGGCTCTACTTTTGGGAAACCACAGGGAAACCACACTGGACATGTGATTTGTTTCCCCACAGAATAAATGTCCTCAAACCTATATTCAGTCTGAGAAAATGCTAATATAATGTAAAAAAATATATATATATTTCGATGATGTTTTGCTCATTTTTATGAGGGGTTGCAACAAATTTGCCTGTATCTGTAAAAATCTCCATTTTGTCATGAAAACACAGAGAGAAGACACTGGAACTCAGAAGACAGTCGGTAGAAGAGGATCAAAGAAAGAAAAAAAATCAAAGGATAACTGACAACAACACCGAGGAGCTCCATGAAAGAGCTTTTAGACAATATTAACGCTTGCTCTGTGTTGTTCTCCTCTAGGGACGATGGAACAAAGCACTGCAATTTGCTATTAAAGATGTGTTTAAAAATAAAGGTTGACAAAAAAGCAGCAGCTAATCTTATAAGAAATCGTTTTAAAGAAGCTTGTTATTCTGAAACACGGTTTTAAAAAACAAAAATCAAAGAGATGGAGGTTTATATCTTTATGAGCTTCAGAGAAATGCCATTAAACGCAGCTTAAAGCTTTCAGACATGCAAAACAGCAACACGTATCAACAGATCATTTATGATACAGCTTTATAAACAAGAAGTGGTTTTAAACTGTACGAGTGCTGTCATGTGACAACCACAAACTGCAATATATTTGAATGAATTTTATGTAATGGACCAAAAGAAAGTAGGGCATAATTGTGAAATGGAAGAATATAGATTTTTAATTAAAAAAAAAGTCTGAAAAGTGTGGCATGCATTTATATTTAGAGCCCTTTAATGAAGGATCCGTTGTTCAAAAAATATTCATGAGTACTGCACCTTTCTGAATTTTATGTGTAAAAAAAGAAAGCTAAATAATGCCCCACTTTATGGTCATGTGTGACAAAAAGTCTCCCCAAATACATCGCAGACTCTGGTTGTGATGGAACAAAATGTGACAACGAGGCAAAAGGAGCTTAAGTGCTTTTGTAAGGCGGTGTATAAAAAGTTACATAGGCATGAAAACTCAAAGTGTTTTCCCATCATTCTAAGGTAATAACTAGCAATTAAATTTATTAAACTTTATATCGGATGTTACTAATACAACAGCACAGAATTTACATACTGTTAATGATTTTCAAATGAATAAAGTTACATTAAATTTTCAAACATAAGCTCTTTCGGATAACATCAGATGATTTATTAATCTCTTAAAACAACGGCCTGAAGTCGAGGTTTTCAAACATCATTCATACATCCCTATAAAATGCTGACGAGCCACGAGTCCCCTGTCATACTTATTATTTCTGACCAGAAGAAAGTGGCTTACCTTCCTCCATAGGCTGAAGCTGGGTTGTAGGCGGTGCTGGGTCGTCCGTACATGACCGGCTGGCCGTAGCCTTTAGACACGCCGTCCCCGTACGACTGCTGGCCCATGAACTGGGAGCCCATGCTGCCGCCCATCCCTGGGCTGCCAACTGGCATTATGTGACCACCAGAACTCTCGCCGGGGCCCATGGGTGATCCAAACACCTGTAGGTGAAATGGAGGAGGGCTTTATGACCCTGGAGATCTGAGGATGTGGATTTCAAAGAGGTAAAAAAGTTCAAAAGTAAGTGATTGAAAAGACTTTCACATAGAAAGCATCCACCCTGAGGTTACACTCACCCTTTAAAGTAAACCTGACATAAAGTAAAGTTTATTTTAAGAAAACTTTACTTATTAAAAAGAGTAAAATTCAGGGTTGCTGTATGACTTTAATGTCAGAATTTACAAACTTCCAGTAACATTCCAGGTATGTTTATGAAGAGGGAATAACATTATTGCATGATGTAAAGCTAAAAAGAGTTGATTTCTACATACTACTGCCCGTTTAATAAGAGTAATAGTTTAGTTTCCACATTTTGACTCTTCATGTTTTTTTGCAATCCAGATATTTCCAGTCATGAAAAACGTGGACATTTGAGGTGTGAAAGCTAAAGTAGCGCCACCTTTCCTATGTTAGAAAGTTGTTCTAAATTTAAAGTAACACATACATTATTTTAAGTATTTGTGTAAATATTGTGCTATATTTCCTCAAGGTTATCACACTTCATAAATGTCAAATAAACCTGACAGTATGCTGGACATCTATTGACCTGTAGACTTCCAGCCTAGAAATCCACTAGAAATGTGTCACTGAGGAAATGTTTTAAACCAAAGCAGGTAGACAAAAAAGATCTGTTTAACAAAGAATCAAATTAGTAAAAAATTCTCCACACAAATTCCTTAAGTACGTCCTGAGACATACTGGTCACTTTAGGTTTAAATATTAACAAGAAAACGCACTAAATAAAGCGTGTATTAGTGAACACAAAAGGAGAACAATGTCCCCGGGTAGTGAGTCATGTGTTACCTGGCTGTGTGTGGGATTGGTCACGCCCCACACTGTGGTTACTACAGAGAGAGATCTTGCGTGTTGATTGGTGCCTGGTTGCCAGGAGACTGGCTCATTTAGGAAGGGGCCGTCAGTGCTGCAGAGGGATAAGAAGGAATGGTTCAGCAGAGGCAGAAAGAGAGAGAAAGAGAGAGAGAGAATTCATCCAGATAGCAGTAATCGCGATACGAGCATCACAGACGGCGTTCCATGGTTTCCTCCTGAAAACAAGGAGTCTTTATCTCCCTCTTAGAGTTCATTTGCTGTTCTAGCACAGAGAAACTCAGCTGAGTGTAAAGGTCACAAACAAATGTTCGCTTTGGGGAGCTAAAGATTAACCTGAGCACGGTTTATTCATCTGACAGTTGAGGTTAGCCTCAGTTTCCTCCTTCTGAACCATTTCCTCAACAGGAAGCTACCGCAGCAGCAAGGCTGTCACACCGCATCACTTGCAGATCTCACTGTCTGCAATACCTAATGTTGTTGGCAAGAAAACTGAAAAATAGGGCGATGTGTGAATACAAACACATCTGCATTAAAAAATAATAATAGTAATTAATCAGCAACGGGAGCATATGCATTGCTTTGTTACTGTTAGCATAGAAGTGCAAACTTTAAAATATTTTTTTTACTGCTGGAGAATACCAGACTGATTTGTGAAACATTCAAACGTTATTTTAAAAAAGTTGTTCAGTCAGAAACAAGAAAACTAGGGTGCACCGGTTGAAGTTTTCTGGCAGGTTATGCCGATTCTGATTTTGGCCGATAATTTTTTCTGTCTGAAAAGTTGCTGACTAAAGTTGCTGAGTTAGCAACAGTGGGGTAACTATTGCTAAACACACATGTGTAGATGTGAATCACCGACCTCCCAAAATTAAGGAAATCAGGAAAGTATTGGTGCACCCATAAAAAAACCCCATCCTATTTGAAGAAAAAATTGTCACTGGTATAATTGGCGGCAACCCCAACAATACCTAGATAATAAACAGCCAAAGCAGCTTTAACATTCTGTACTCTTGTTTGAAAATTTAATAAGATTTTTTTTTTTCCCATTTGTTGTTCCTTGAACGCAGTATCACAATTACAATTCTCAGATATCACCAGCCTGGATGCATCATCTCTCTTTCAAATCCCATGTGGTGAGCAAGTCTCAAAAGTCGAAAACGCATTCCAGCTGATCTGTGCCCACGTGTTGACCGATCCGTCCACTTCTGGTGATTCGTACATGCGCATTTGGCGATTTGTATTTGTTGTGTATTGCTACTTGTGCAGTGGGAAACTTGTACATTTGAGAATATACACATATGTGAATGTGTGAATCATATGGTGCACTTACAAGTCTTCTTTTATGCGCATGCACATCTTATTGCACGCTTTGTGAATCTTTCAGAGACTAATTGAGCTCCATACAAAACATCTCACCATGTTGTAATCTAGAAAATTAAACAAGCCTGTCTGAGTTGTTGCCAACAATTTCTGGTGCTGTTTTTGCATTTTTAAAATCTAATGAGGTTTAATCTGATAAAACTCTTCAGAGGCGAGTAGTTTAACTGTAAAAAGGCATGAATGGTGGAATAAAACAGGCTTGAACCTGCCCAAGTGGTCTAGTAAAGACTAGCCGATTATCTGCACTGCTTTTTCGTTGTGTAGAAGTAAAGAAAAAAAATATTCTATGGAGAATTGCAATTCTTAGTTCTGGGAATCCTGAATCGATTCAAAATGCTCTTTATATCTGCTTCATTTTTTTTAAATATAATTCTTTCATATTTTTTTATTGAAGAAAAAGCCAGGTAGCTAAGCTAAAGTAATCCTGGTAATTTTACACATAAACCTATTTTTGTTTAGATATAAACTGATGAAATTTGATACAGTGTGGAACCGTACCAGCTTGTTCTACATAAATGTTTCATTTGCTTACGCCATCTTCTCCTCCTGTCAGTCATATAACAAACAGAATCTCTTGACCGTTTGGAAAGAAAAAATGCTTTTCTGACGATTTTTATCGTCACAAAAGCATTTTTTGTCTAATTGCTAGACACTGAAAAAGACACTGCAAATTTGCATCTCTAGTGTAGTAGTGATGACATTATTTCATTTCTTTATGACTAAATAATTTCCAGATCAGTTTCCTCCTAGTGGTCTAAGGTGACGTGACATGAATTAGTCGTTTAAGATCGATCCTTGTGCAGATCAAGTGGCATTGTTGCTTGAATGAGACAGTCACATACACCATATCATCTACCTGGGCTTAATGTCAGCACAGTGTGTGTGTGTGTGTGTGTGTGTGTGTGTGTGTGTGTGTGTGTGTGTGTGTGTGTGTGTGTGTGTGTACCTTTGTGGAGTGGGAGGCAGGGAGGGTTTCATGGAGTTAAGGGGGTTCATCGGATGAATGGTGGGATCATTAGAGAGCCCCCACTGTCCTCAAGCAGCAGCCCTGGTAGAAGGGAAAAAAAACAAAACAAAAAAAAACACGTACATAAACAGACAAACCCTCACAGCTCATTTGCTGCACGGCAACCATTTATCATCACTATAGCCCACACTGTGTGCACAAAAGACATAGCGACCTCCCACTCTGTGCCACTCACTTTAATCTGTGTGTGTGTGGACTGCGCACTTCAAAAACGTTAGCCTATCACTGTCTGCTGCAGCTCTGATACCTCTGGAAGCGGGAGGGGGGAAGGGAGGTGCGAGCTAAATTTAGCTTGCTGATTTCAAAAGGAATTTAAGAGAACAGAGATGAGACGAGGCGAGCTCTTCTCTCGCCTCACCGACATAGAGGCAGTGACTCAGGAGCGTGCGCTGCTCTCTACCGCCGCTGACTAGAGACATGTTCTGGACCTTCTTTACGTTAATAAAAGTTCAACGTCTTCCTGCGTCATTCCCAGGAACACCCAGGACACACAAAACGACTCTGACTGTTGATCAATAGGTAGCTGATTAGACACGTGTAAGTGTTTTCACTAAATTCACATAATTTCTCTGTTTGAACTTCATGAAACGGATTTTAGTTAAATGTCTGGAAGGATGCTTCGGATCCTGAAGTGGATTTAAAGTAGACACAAGGGAAAAAAAAGAAAGGAGGCACGCCAGAGGTGCTACACGTTTCCTTTCCTGTGTTGTGAACTTTTAAAGATTGTGAGAAAATCTGCATTATATATATATATATATATATATATATATATATATATATATATATATATATATATATATATATGTGTGTTTTATGATGTTAGCATACAACTATAAATCTTCACTATATCCCCAGTGACCTCATCAATGGCTCTGGTTTGCATCAGTCAAAAAACCAGAAAAAAGATAGGTGATATTATGGAGGCCATTACTACTGGAGTCTTTAGAATATGAACTTTCTGACAGATGTTCTGTATGCATTCTGTATTTGCAAACTTTATGATGTAGAGCTTGTTTGTAGTAGTCTATGTTTTCAGCATTTTGCGGCTTTTTATTCTCCTTTATGTAATTAACAAAAATTCCTAAATACATTTTGGGGGGATTTTTGCTTAAATGTGAAGTCATAAATCGCGACTTGATGCATTAGATAGAATATGTCATGCATCAGCTTATTTCTAAGTTCAGCCCAAACAAGTTAAGAATGTCTTCATTTCTGTTCACTAGCTAAACTTTCTGAGCAAGATTTACATTTCCAATTCACACTCATATATTGTTTTTTTTCTAAGAGTTACATTTATAGAAAAATATTAATACTATTCCTTGTGTTGTAACTTCCAGCATGGTAACATAAACTGCAGTAAAGCAGTTTGTTCTTGTGTTATGACCAACTACATTTCTTCTTTTTGCTGTTTCAATAATCACATTCTTATGGGCATGCCTTTTGTCCAAACCAGACTTTAGTCACCGTGATATTGCACACATTGACATTGCAATCATGGGTACGATTCAATATCTTGTGCAAATCTAATTCTTATCTAAATTATTTTTGTATTTGCCTTAAATTTAGTGGCGATTCAGGCATCAGTAACAATTTTGTGGAGAAATTTTGTGCAATTTCCTCACCTCATGGATACTTGCACAGTTGTTTGAATCACGTCTCTGAAATTTATAGACAACGATAAATAAAAACTCTTATTATGACAGGTTTTTTACACCAAGTGGTAAACAACCAATACGGTAAATGCCCACCACTATTTCAGTGCATGCACTTCTCTAATAATGAGTCCAATCCATCAATCAACCAATACAAGAGTCTTCCTCGAGACATGCTGTTCACATTTTGACACCAAGATGACATCTAGACATCAATCAAAGCTTAGCCAGTGCTAAGCTTCAAACAGGACTTTCTAGGGAGGAGGTTTCCACAGAGCTTATATGTCAAGTCATCAAACAGTAGCAACAAAGAGATGTCACTTTCTACGCTAATGACAACTTCATTCCAAACAATGTCGTGCAGATCCATAATGAATGGACACACATTTAAGGAACTCAGAAGCAAGTAGATGCAACAGTTTATGGGGATTATGTAACAACACTGGCAAAGATAAAATCCCTTTGATCAAATCCATGCCATATGCAGAATGTGTGAAACTGAAAGTAAATCTCTCAAAACAAGAGGAACTTTTTTACACATTATGGCTAAAAAAATGGAAGTAAAAACAGATCTAACTTTAAACCCAAAGCACATCAAGCTAACAATGCTAATAATTCCTAACTCAGAAAATTCAGTCCAAGTACTAACACAAAAGACCTGAGATCATCAAAAGTCGAGTAGAATCAGGACTTTTGCGTCATCCATTGATTCACTATCATATCAAAGCCTTATGAATAGCAATCAAACGCAGTCGCCAAGTGCCTCAAGACTCCTTAGGAATCCCAATTCCAAAGTATTTGTGATTCAGTCTGACATTGTGACTGTGATTTTTGATAAGATCCTGGTTCTGTTCAGAATTCCTCAGTGTCTAAAGTGTTGTACAGCCATAACTAACTCAAAGATGTACCTGCAAGTTCACACATCTAGACCCGATGATGATGCCGATATATTCTACATCCCTACTTATGGTCTTCATTTAGAGAGGAGAAAGATGCATATAGAAAAATGTCTCATCTACAGCTCACAGAAAAAAGTTTCTCTTTAATCCCTGTTTTTCAAACAGGTAGTAATTATTTTATAATAAAAAGTTTGAAAGTTACTGCAGCTGTACTGTGTAGATGGCTTGCCACTGGAGAAAACACAATATGGACATCTAAAGGAATGATTAAGGTCTAAATTAGGTTTTTATAAACCAGCTTATTAAATATTACACCTGCATCTTCAGCTCCATATGTTCCCTCTTTTTCTTCATCCCTGCTCCATGCTGCTCCTCTGCCTTTACCTAACGAGTTCCTTCATCTGATGGTTACCAAGTGGCATGCTAATTCCCCAACATCAGAGCCCTGACATCCTCCAACCCCCTCCCTGTTTTTTTTTTCACTGCCACTTTCCTTTTTGTACTTTGCAGATTTGGGTCAGACATCATGAATCTTGTGTAAAAAGACAGAGAGGGAGGGGTGCTACTCCTCAGATCACATGATCGCCACTCACAAATTCCCTCCTATCGAGTACCTTGGAACTTCCATCACAGCTGAGCGGTGAAACCACACAAAGGGAGGACGAAACGTGCGAGACGTTTGTGGCTGCATCAGATGTTCAAAGCGAGCGCACGAGGCGCAAACTGTACCTGTGGAGGACCCGTTGCTACACTCCTGTCTTTCTCTCTCGCCTTGCCTTCTTTGACCTCGGCATCTTGACATTTTCTTTACCCTCGACTCTTCCTCTTCACACCACTCCTCGCTGTCGGATTCTCTTCTCGTTCTTTCCCTCTCAGCTCTCAGATCTTGCCATTGCACTGGCAGCTGAATCGCTCAATCAAACCCTCAAACTGCTCTGCTGCTGCTGGTTTACAAGGACCACATACAGTCATATGTGCAACAGCAAACGAAGCGGTTACAGTGCCTTTCAAAGGCACTCGTACCACTTAAAGGGTTCCACGTTTCATTTTACGTTGCAACCACAAACGTCATCCTATATTTAAAATAAGATTTTATGTCTCAGTGCAAACCCGTGAAGTGGGAGGAAAATGACACATTTAAAAAACACATTCCCAGATAAAATCTAAACCGATTACTATCAGATGTCACCGAATTAGTACAAAGGATCCACCTGTGTGTAATTTAACTTAACCAAGATTATGTAATAAAACACTATGCTCTTACAGAGCTTTGTTCAATCTATCACCCTAGAATGGAAAGAGTATGACACAACTGCACATGATTGTCAACTGAAGATTAATAGGCCAGGGGAGGAGAGCATTAATCAGAGGAGCAGGCAAGAGGCCTCACTCAGGTGGGTTAATGTTTCAACAGGATCACTATTAAGTCATGCACAACGGGGCTGCAACCAATGATTATTTTACTTATCAATTATTCTATATCAATTATTCTGACAATCGGTTAATCGGATAAAACAATTGGCACTCTGCAGATTTTTCATTTAAATCTTAGTTATGTAATATTGGAAATACATTACAAGATGCAAACAAACAAATAATTCAAAACCTTTTTTTTTTATAAGAAAATAAACATTCCATTGACTAAAATGTAATAACAGTACAGGTGTGCGATACTGGATATTTTGGTATCAATCCGATACCAAGTAAATACAGCACCAGTATTGCTGATGCCAATTTCAATACATTTTATTCAGGTTTGATATATCATCACACATTTGACCTCTAAGTTTTTCTGTTTTTTTTCTTTAGAATTTTTTTGTTAAAACCTAGAACAGAAGTTGGACAAAGTTTATAGGTGTCTGCAAAATACTTTAACAAAATATTAACATAATGCATACAAAAATAGAAAAACAAAACATACGTGCCTCTTTTCCTGCATAAACAATTCCAAAAAATATAATTTTAGAACAACAAAATCTTTTTGAGGCAAGGACGAAAAACTACAATTCCAAAAATAAAATAAGAAGTCAAGAGAGAATCTGAAACTAAGGTATCGATCTTACCATGCTAGTATCAATCTGACACTGATACAAACTTGTTATCAATATTACCGATATGTTGCAGTGATCTGCCCACCTCTAAATAAAAACATTTTTGAGAACACTTTATCATTTGTTGCAAAGGATGCATCTGCAGGTTAAAAAAAATGCTTCTAACATCAAAATGTGAATGGCTCAGATATTTCTGCTTGACTTAACATCAAAACAGTGTAAAACTGATTACTTCTTCAATTAACCAATTAATAACTGAATAGCAAAAGGTCCTTGATAGGAGATTTATTTATACAGAGAATTTAAACTAGGTGAAGCTGATTATCTTCTTTATACAACATTGGAAATACATTACAAGATGCAAATAAAAACTTGATGAATCTTTGGTAGAATCAAAGCATTTTTTTATCTTAAATGAA